CTCTCTCTCTCTCTCCATATATATATATATATATTTGTTGTTGTTAATCCTCTCCCGAGGATATTAGACCATTAATTTCGGAGAAAGTGGAGGGGATGGGGAGAGAGAGAAACATGGATATGAAAGCGACACATCGACTGGTTGCCTCCCACATGTACCCCAACGGAGGCCAGGGATCAAGCCTGCACCCCAGGTTCATGCCCTTGACCGGAACCAAACCTGGCCCCTTCAGTCCATGGGCTGATGCCCTATCCACTGGCCACACTGTCCAGGGCCTGTTTACTAGTATCTTCCTAGCCCAGTGTTCCCTGGAAGAACTGAAAACAGTTTTCTCCCCAATGCACAGCTACGAACAGCCTGACAGCACGCGGATGCTCCCGGACGTGTGGGAGTCACTACAACACTGTGCTGCTCATCACTCATCCCGTCCCTCCTCTCGCCTCCCCGGGCTAGAGGGTGCGTGAGAGGAAACATCCATCGCTGCCCCCTGCACGCCCCCTCCTGGGGATCACACCTGCAACCTGGGTGTGTGCCCTGCAGGGGATCGAGCCTGACCTCCTGGTTCCTGGGGACGATGCTCAACCACGGAGCCACGCCGCCGGGCTCACCTTGGTCTTTATTCTCGTGGCTCAAAGCTCAGTCATCGGAGGGTCTGACACACTGACGGGTGCTAAGGGTGCTGCTGTCCCGTGTCCTCTCCTTCTCCACCCACACGGTCCCTGTCACAGCAGGGAGGACGGAGGAGGGAGCCGCCGCCTTTACACGAGGGCACATTGGGGAGATCCCAGTGCCCCTGCCCTTTCCTGTCCAAACCGCACACGGACCCTGAGCCTTTCCCACCACGTCTTAGTTTAGACACCACAGCAGCTCAACTCTGCCCTCAAGCCATTGCTTTCTTCTGCGTATTTACCAGTCAGGAGTCAGATGGCCACCACCCAGTCACTCTAGGGAGACAGGGTGCTCAGCTGGCCTTGCCGCCCCCCCCCCACCCCCCCGGCCTCGCCGCCCACCACGTTTTACTTGTAAGAAACCCCGTAAGGGCTGGGGCGAGTGGCAGGGAAGGGGCTGGGGCAGGCGGGGATGGAGCCGGCCTGTGGGCCTGTGCAGTTAGGATCGGGCGGGACGCCTCCTCCTGCGACGACCCACAGTCCACGGGGAAACAGGAGCCTCACATTGACAGTGCAGTCAGCTCGGCGATGACATCATCCGCCACACTTAGACCCCTCCGCCGTCGCCATGGCAACCCTCCCCTAAAACATAGCTGAGTTGGTAATTTCACTCTAAATTAAATGAAAATAGGGCTAATCCTATTATTGGTCTTAATAGTTTTCCAAGTAGCTTCTTGTCAGAGTGCCCTTGCTTGTAGGTCCTGTCTTTTTAAAAATAGATTATTGGGAATTATGTGTGTGGGCGTGCTCCCAGGCCACGGGCGGCCACCTGCATCCCCCAGCGGTGACAACGCACGACCTTGTGTGGAGTCGGGCACAGCCTCCCACGCTGCCACCCAGTGCTCGTGCCGCTCAGGGCTGGGCACTTGGGGGACACACACCGTGTGGCCCTGGGCCCTGTCGGAAACCGTCACACTAGGATCACGTACAGACACTCAGGGGAAGCCACGTCGTGCACGCGTGTCTGTCTGAAAAGGCACCTCAAGGGATTCCGTTTCAGAAGTAAACGTGCATGCACATTTCAAGCTATTTAGGGAAAACTCCTCCTGTCGCCTCCACTGCAGTCACTGAAAGATGAGAGCTCCCTTAACAAGAGGCCCTACAGCCACGCCTTCCAGCCAACATGTCACCCAGAGGGCTCTCTGCCTTCCCCGACCACCCATGACACAGCGTGTGTGGGAAATCCCCTGTGGGTTGGCGCATCCCCTGTGGGGTCACGTGAGACAGGCTGTAGGATGCAGCAGGAGTCCTAGACCCAGCAGAGGGGACTTCCTGAAGGCGTGCCCCTCACCAGGGCTGTCCTGCCAGGGGCAGGAGGAGAGGGGAGACCGTGTAATTGGGAGTCAGAGCCCTCTGCGCTCTCAGCTTCCTCACAGGTAACTACCCACCGGGCTTCGGTGCCAGACCAATGTAAGAATATATGTCAGGCCCGGCCAGTGTGACTCAGCGGTTGAGCATCGACCTAAGAACCTGGAGGTCATGGTTCAATTCCCAGTCAGGGCACAGGCCCAGGTCGTGGGCTTGATCCCTAGTGTGGGTCGTGCAGGAGGCAGCTGATCCATGATTCTCTCTCATCACTGATGCTTCTCTCTTTCCCCCTCTCCCTTCTTCTCTGAAAGCAATAAAAATATATTAAAAATAAAAGAATATACATATGAACACAAAACTCTCTGCTGATGGCTGTAGAGAGAACGCATGGGGAGCCAACAGGCGGGCCCGACCATCAAGACCAGGAGGCACACAGGGTCCAGAACTTGCCCAACGACCGCCCGTGTTTCCAATTTGCTCCCAGATCACCAGCCTCGGGGGCTGGCAGGGCCCTGGGCAGACTGCAGAGAGGTGAGCCTGACCCAGAGCCAAGGAGCCAGGGGGCCGGTCCCGGCTGCTGGGCCATCTTCTCCCCATGACAATGACGCTATGGGCCCCACCTCTGTTGTGGGTCCCACGGGACATTTCAGCCAGAACCCAACTTGCGCCCACGCATGACCCTGCCACACACACTTCCCGGGTCTGCTATTCACACCCTCGGGGCCGTGTTGGGGGAGGTACCTGAGCAACACAGGCAGCAGAGAACCCACAGGGGCAGGGCAGGAGAGAGGAGCAGGACCGCGCGGAAAACACCCTCCACCTCCGGCTCCCTCCCGGCGCCTGGAAGGAGGGCGCCTGCTCCTCAGGAGGAACGCGAGGTGCGGGCAGGGCTGTGTGCCCTTCGCAGCTTGTGTCCAGCTGGATGGGCACCTGCCTCCCACCATCTTTCCTGGAGACTTCAGTGTGGGCACGTGCGCCCTGCAGCTTCTCCCTCACGAACCACGCTTGTCCGAGCACTTTCCTGATCACGGTGGATGCTCAGCCCGCTGCACAGCACACCACCCATTTCCCTCTCTCCCCACCTCACATGTGACCCGCAAGGGGGTCACCCAGTGCCCACCATCCTGAGGTTTCCTCATAACTAAGACCTTTTCCCCGCTAACCGCATCGTTTCTGAGGCCCAGGCACCTGTGCTGTGCATCGCAATGATGTTCCGAACCAGAACCCGGTGATGTTCCAGCCCAGAGGATGTGGCACCGCAGACTCCCCACCGTGACCGGCAGAGACCGGCCCGGCAGGCGGTGATGGGTCCGTTGACAAGGTCACACGGGACGCCCTTTGCTGAGTGGACAGTCGTGTGGCTTGACCAAGGCCACAAGGTTTGTTCGCGGGAGAACGTGGATTATCTAGGACTTTCAGTTCTCAGCTCAGAATCCACGGACTGTGATGTGAGGCCCAGTGAGAGCCCCGATAACATCAACACGCTCCGAGGGTTTAAGTGAAAACTGTGTCATTAAATCGACAGATGGGCCAACTGGCTCCATCTCAACTGTTTCTCAAGATACAGAATCTGTGGAGCAAAGACGACAGAGGCCGTGGTCACCTTCTCTCCCCTAGAGTGACATTGAATATTCGCGCAGCAAAACCAACGCAAGGAAATGACGTGCCCGTGAACGGGAGCCCTCTGCTTGGAGCCATGAGTCTCAGGAAAGGAGGTAAAATTCAGGAATTGGTTTGAAACAGGCGGCCAAGTGATGACGTGCTTTCGGTTTGATGCCTTTGTCCTTGAGTTTTAGCGTTGAAATGCCAACTTAAATGCAGAGAAATATCCGCACCACTCATTTCACGTCCTCTCCCACCAGCGCACACAACGCCCGCCTCCCGTGTGTTCTGCCTAAATTTGAATGTACATGTATCCACGTTAGCTCTGACTTCACATCTGAGCTAGATTTCCGGGGCCACTGTTAAAAAGCTCAGAAATTAAATAATTAAACCCAAGGAAGCAGTTCAACCTACAGATGACGTAACCCAAGGCGCACGGAGGCCTTGCAGCATGTTCTCTAAATTCTCCCTTTCCAACCGCACTCAGACGCAGCTACCCTGCTCTTGCACCTACACCATGAACCCAAGTCCAGCGCAACTGACCAGATGCAGTGATCCCACGCCAAGCGCACCCGGGCCCGACTCTGTACCGTGTTGGAGCCGTGTACACAGTTTTCCCGTGACCCCCACAGTGGTCACATGACCTCGTGCAGCATCTCCAGGGAGGAGACCAGTGTGCATCCTGCAATTGCGCACCTGTAGCCAGCGGGTCAGGGACAGGGCATGTCCACAGTCTAACAATATCTGATTGACCCGGATCAGCTCTGGATCAAGTCCCAAACTTACCTCGATCGGCCATCTTCTGAGTGACTTTCCAAGAGTCCAGCATGAGGGCATAGTGAGTTCCAGTGACGCCCAGAGACCTCCTAGTCCAGTGATGGCGAACCTATGACATGTGTGTCAGAGGTGACACACGAACTCATTTTTTTGGTTGATTTTTCTTTGTTAAATGGCATTTAAATATATAAAATAAATATCAAAAATATGTCTTTGTTTTACTCTGGTTGCAAATATCAAAAAATGTCTATATGTGACTCGGCACCAGAGTTAAATTAGGGTTTTTCAAAATGCTGACACGCCGAGCTCAAAAGGTTCGCCATCACTGCCCTAGTCCCTGATGCCACCACATCTTAGAAAGACATCTTAGAGACTTTGAATTCAGCCGCGATATAGATGACGTTTTAGTAGCCCACAGAGCAAGGCAGAGAAAGAACACACGTGCCCTCCCATGGCCTCCAGAGACCTCCAATGACCTCCAGCGACCTCCAGTGACCTCCAATGACTGCCAGTAACCTCCAATAACCTCCAGCAATCTCCAATGACCCCCAACCACCTCCAATGACCTCCTACAACCCCCAATGGCCTCCAGCACGGCACCGCGGAAGCCCGGTGTGGCAATGGGACGCACCCTCCCGCACTCACCACACGGACGGCGCCTCCGTCCCGCTGATCTCCAGGAAGTCGTAGCCCTCCTCCAGCTGGAAGTCGGTGAAGACCAGCGCGATGGTGTCCCCGGGCTCGGCCAGGACGGTCCACGTGCAGTCGGCATTGTTCTCGTACTCGGATGGGAAGTGGGGGCTGGAGATGCTGCTGGTGGTGCCCCGCAGGGTCCCCCCGCAGGCTCCCTCGGCTGGAGGACAGAGGAAAGGGAAGGCGCTGCTCAGGATCGTCTCGGGCACAAGGCCATCGACAATGCCACCGGGATCAGTGACGGTATTTCCCCACCAGAGACACAGATGCCCTCTGAGGGTCTCTGCGGGTTTGCGCCTGCCGTTCTATGGGAAGGGTCAGGGTTAGGGTCACATCTAGTTGCTAAGGAAAGGCCCCCTCGGAAAGGGTGCCATCGGCTGAGACCCAGGCTGCGTCGCTGTCGCCATCCAGTCACAGGCAGGTGGACAGCGGTTTCCAAGATGTTCTCGAGCCCTGGAGGATGGAGATGAGCGGCCACATTCAGACCTGAGTGTGATGCCGGCTTTCAGAGGCCGTGCTCCTAGGGGAGGGTGCCACCCCTCTTCCCCAGGGAGTTTGGAAGGTGCATCGGTTTTGAAGTTCAGATAAGCTAATACCATAAGGTGGCACCACACAGACACATGGACTCATCCAAAGTTTCCAAGGAGGAAACAGCTGCGTGGAACGTAAAAACGGGAATATCTTGGGGAAATGCCAAGTAAAACGCCAATAAAGATGAAACACATGTAAGATGTAAATGATATGGTGCTAAGCAGTGGGAGGGAGGGAGGGAGGGAGGGAGGGAGCAGGAAACAGGTTCCCCACCCCTGATCTAAAGGCTCCAAGGACCCGAGAGACCCGCCTCCACACCTCTGCCCGCAGTTCATTACAGCGCCAACAGCCTGGGACCATGTGACCATGGAGACACCAGGACCTGGGAAATCCTCGCAGATCTCACTGCCCCATCCCTGCCAGGAGTGAGCAGGCCAAGGCCGGGTTTTAATGGACACGGACTGTGGGAATCTACTCACCCCTGCAGAGACCTGTGAAAAAGGAGGGGTAAGGAGGGAGCTGTTTCCTTTTTTGTTTTTCGTGTTTTTGTTTGTGTTTTAATCCTCACCCGAGGACATTTTCCCCTGATTTTTAGAGAGAGTGGAAGAGAGAGGGAAAGATAGAAACATCGATGTGAGAGAAACATCCATGGGCTGCCTCCTGCATGAGCCTCCGACCAGGGCCTGGGCCAGGGAGGAGCCTGCAACCGAGGTACGTGTCCTGGACCGGAATCGAACCCGGGACCCTTCGGTACGCAGGCCCACACTCTATCCACTTAGCTGAACAGGACAAGGATGTTTTTCATGCTTTTGTTGATTTCAGAGAGGAAGGGAGAGGGAGAGCGATAGAAACATCAATGATGAGAGAGCATCCCTTGGCTGCCTCCTGCACGCCCCCTACATTAACGGAGGATCATTAACAGATGACTCTGAGATCCTGGCTTCTCACCTTTGACCTCTGACCTGTGGGGCCTAATTCTGTGTGAGGGAGGCTGCGCATGCGGCGTGGGAAGTTCCGCAGCATCCCCGCCTCTGCCCACTAACGGCCAACACTCCCCCAACAGTGTGCTGACCAGCGATGCCTCGGACCCGGATCCGCCCCCCCCCCCGCCCCGGGCACAGGGTCCAGTTGAGCACCTCAGACTCCAATGCCGGTCACCGGGCAGTGCTTTCCAGGCTCCCACGGGGGTTACCCAGACCCCTCGGGACAGGAGGCCTCGAGCCAGATTAACATGCCAGCACTTCTCTTTCTCTGCGTCAAGGTTAATAATTTACTATCAGGTATTTGGCTTATGTAAATGTATTAAAACAGAGAGAGACCTACATGGCATTTTTCCCCTAAATAATCTGTTTATGTTCAATAACTTAATTAAAGGGATGAGAGTTACTGCAGCTGTCTTTGGAAATGGTTTCATTTTTGCCAGACGTTATACAATTTTCCCATAAAGAATAAGCCCACATAAATGAAGTTAATTAGGAAACAACTATTAAATTTTCTAAACTAAACTATTTTTAACTCTTTAGAAAAACCTAAACATCAGTATAGTTATAACAGATTCATTGTGGTTGATTTTATTTAATATACCTCTAATCCTATTTGGGTGGAAAGTGGATTTGATATATGTAACTCTTTTATAAGACAAACTAGAGGCCCGATGCACGAAATTTGTGCAAGAGTAAGCCCTTGAAACCCCGGCTTCGTCCGGAAGGTCGTCCAGATGGTTGTTCCGCTGTTCAGCCATTCAGTCGATTTGCATATTATGCTTTTATTATTAGAGATTATATTTTAAAATTCATAACTTTATAGTTTCTGAGATGTGTTTTCACCACCTTAGCTTCACTCATTATGCAAAAACTAATAATACAAAACTATAACATGTTTTTATTAAACATGTTATTCCAATTGTTTATATTGTACTAAAAACAAATGTTCTACTAAAAACACATATAAGCTTTTGAAAATGGGAGCTCATTAGCCAGAAGCAGACCTTCAGCAACCATTCCTTAGACCACTGTTTACACACACACACACACACATACACGTGCACATGCAAGCACACAACACACAGGAGCACCTAAAACTAACAGATGTTCTTGCTTTCATCTTTCCTCTATAGTATGTCCACTTACATCAGCAACATTGATCCTTTTAAAATTGAACTTGAATCTTAAAATTTTCTGTCCCAAACTGTTAAACTTCCCATGTCACCCTGAGACTGAAGTCAAAGGGGGCCAGGCCCTGAGGCATGGGCTATGTGCTGACCCCTGCCTGCCTCCCCAGCGCCCCTGCCCACCCACCTCCCTCTGTCCCCTCTCCCTCCCTCTCCTCGCTCTGGGGGGGCCACCCTGCCTCCGGAACCAGCACCTGGATGTCCCTGCCCCAGGCCCTTTGCACTCGTCACGCTGCCCATGGCCTGCCTGCTGCCCTTGGCGTCTGCGTCAGTCATACTCCTGGGCCGCCTTCCCGGGCCGCCAGGTACAAACAGGCTCCCCGTTTCATCACTGTCCCCGCACTTTGCTTTGCTTCTCAGCAGTTCATGACGTGCAAAGTCCGTTTCAAGGACTCGGCCATGCGCTGTGCCCTCCATCCAAGAAGGCAGCCTGGCGCCAGCAGCTTCCTCCTGTTTTGCTTTTTCCTCTTTGGGAGGGTGCCTGCAGCATTCCCGCAGCTCTACTGCCTGCAATGAGCCTCTATTCGGCCACCCTTAGTACTAGCAGTACTAAGATTTTAACAAAACACATTTCTAGGCTCATGCATGGCATCAAACTATGCTATTTCTAAGGAAAGACGTCAGAAAGTAAGTTAACCGAGTCATGGAAATATAGAGGCATCTTCAAATACAAGGTTTAAAAAAGAGTATTCTAGAACAACTGCAGCAAGACTACGTGGAACAATATGTTAGACAAAAGCTAATTGTGGAGAAGCAAGTTGGGTCCTTGTAGCAATCCCCAGGGGTTAGAGGGCCCCTGTGTGTGGCTGTTTGTTTTCAACAAGTAACTAAGCTGCCACCTGGGAATTTTCCTTTATACTCAGCAGAGCAGCAAGGAAGTTTCTAGAAGAGATAAAGTCAGGCAGGCAGAGAAAGCAAAGTAATCAAAGGAAAACATTAAGAAAATGAGATTATGAGCCAGCTTCCTGGCACCCGGAAGAATTATTATTTTTTAAATATATTTTCATTGATTTCAGAGTGGAGGGGAAAGGGAGAGAGAGACAGAAACATCAATGGTGAGAGAGAATGACTGATTGGCTGCCTCCTGCACGCCCCACACTGGGGATCAAGCCTGCAACCCTGGCATGTGCCCTGGCAGGAATTGAACCAGTGGCCTCCCAGCTTCTGGGTTGATACTCAATTGCTGAGCCACACCTGGCTGGGCCTGGAAGAATTATTTCAAATTCCATAGTTAAGCATGTAAACTCAGAAATAACATATAAAAAGTAAAATGTATTAAAACAAATAAGTAACTATTAAAAATAAACCAATTCTGGCCAATGTTTAAATAATACAGTTATCCTATATAATAAAAGCCCAGTGACCCAATAGCAGAATGACCAGTCGACCAGTCGCTATGACACACACTAACCACCGGGGGCAGACGTTCAACGTAGGAGCTGCCCCCTGGTGGTCACTAGGCTGACCAGGATGAGTAGTGCTCCCACAGCAGCCGATCCCTGCAGGCCACATCCCCCATCAGTGCACAAATCCATGCACAGGGCCTCTAGTATTAATATAATGTAAGCTCTTTTTAATCCATACATATTAATAAGCAACTATAATGTATCAAAACTATTACTTTTATATTATTAATTTTGCTATATCCAGAGTAATTTTTTTATTTAAAAGCTGAAGAATTGGGGCAGGGCTAATTAAGTAAATGCTATTTAGAATCACCCCCCCCCCCATATTTTTTAAACATTATACAGAAAGTAAGTTAAGTTAGGTCAAACTGTCGTGCAAATACTTGACCATGAGAATTAGCACACAACAAATATTTTTCAACGAAATGATGAAAACCAGTACTGAGTCACTTCAGCATTTTAAAAATGTGCCCCTAGGACCTTTGAGGGAAGGAGTCAGCGGTTGCCAAGTGGGTGGGCTTTGGCTCCGACACCCGATTTCCCTCAGAGCAATTATTTCTTTAACTCGGGTTCCTATACTGAGTTTTCACAAAATCTTGCACTTGGAAAAAATGATTCTACAGCCAAAAAAAGTGTGAATGTCATCTCGTTAATCCAAGAAGATGAGGTTTTTAATAAAAGATGCGTTTGGGTCTACTGATTCCCGTAAGTGGGGAAGTATTCTAAATGTAAGAGGAAATCACAGCTCACCATTTCTCCCAAGGAACCTCAAAACTTTTAGAAGCTTTATTCTAAACTCTGAAAGTATCAGAGGCCTCGCCTGGGTATAGACGTTGCTAGGACTATAACTTGAGGGCATAATACAAAATTCAGAATAAAACATTATTTAGAGACATCCCCTGCACATTTATCAGAAGGGAAAATGGAAACCAACTAAATGTTTAATAAGCTGTAAATCATTAAAGTATGATGTGTCTGCACCACACAACCATCCGAGGGTTTCAACATGGCTCAGTGGCTTCCCGAGTTAGTGTGTTAAATTTACCACACAGAGGATGTGCACCCAGATGCAGTCTCTTCACAGTGTGAACGACGGTGGGGGAAAGACTCCAGAAAAGAAACACACACACATGCACACGCATGCACACACACGCACACACATGCACGCACACAGAGACACACACTCATCATATTCCTTTTCTAACCTGGGAGATACTATCTAACATGCTGACCCTCCCTAGGGCTGCGTGGAATCTGGGGGCCCGTGAACACCTAGAAGCCAGACTGTCTGGGCTTGGGGGAGCCGCCCGCTTGCTGTGTAACCAGCTTTCGGGCCCGCCTGCGCCTCAGCCTGCTTCTCTGTAACTGGTGAGAATGAAGGTGTCGCTGCCGAGGGTTGGTGTGAGGTGAAGTGAATTGATCCGGCAGAACCCTTAGAACTAGGCAGGCAAATAGTATCTGATCAAAGTAGCTATTATTGTTTCCAACCACCTGGCATGCAGTGATCAGGCAGTGATGGCTTATTGGATAAATTATTGATACTCATTTTTCATCTCAGGGCTTAAAGGTTTTGCTGCTTCGGGTCAGACTCGCCTTCCTGGGTCTACACAGTGTTTGCACCAGGAGCGGGTGCTGCTCTGAGGGCAGAGAGGCTGACAAGGAGCTGGGGTAGGGGCAGGCCGACACTCCTCCAGGGGCTGGGCTCAGAGGAGCCCAGAGACATGGGCCACCCCCCCCCCCATCTCCATGGCTGCTCCTCTGGTGCGCTCACCACCACGCGTGTGCCGAGACCATGGGGCGTTTACACTCTCTCCGCTTACTGAGGTCTCTGTAAGAAGCACTGGTCTCCTAGGTCGCCCCCACCCCCTAGGTCGCCCTC